CAATCAGTGCAGTCTAAGCATTCTTGTAGAGCTAGCTTTGCTTCATCTGTCCATTTTTTTCACAGTCTTAACAACCGGTTTAACACATTTGAGTTTCTGTCTGTATGTAGGTATTAAGTGTATTAAATTGTGGTCAGAAAGACCTAATGCTGCGCGGGCGATCGATCGGTATGAATTTTTGATTGTTGTCTAGCAGTGGTCTAGAATGTTGTCTTCTCTGGTGAAACAGTCGATGTGCTGCTTATATCTAGGAAGTTCACGGTTAAGATGTGCTCTATTAAAATCGCGCAAAATGATCAGGGGTGAGCTCCGGGTATTTAGTTCGAGTTTGTTTACTTGTTCAGCTAGCGTTTGTATCGCCGTGTTAGCATTAGCTTGTGGCGCAATGTAAACACCGACTAGTAAAAAGGAGGTGAACTCACGTGGCGAGTAGAATGGCTTGCAGTTTAAAGACAACGACTCCAGGTCCGTGCTGCAGTGTGCGTCGAGCTTCGTGACATCAGTGCACCATTCTTCGTTGATATAGAGGCAAATCCCACCACCTTTCGATTTCCCTGATAGCTCCGTGTCGCAGTCGGCTCGGAGAAGGCGGAAGCGCGGAATCCGGGTGGCGGTCACTGAGCCAGGTTTCAGTGAAGCAGAGCACAGCAGAATGTGCAAAGGTTTTGTTGGTCTTTGTGAGGAGAAGAAGTTCATCCATCTTGTTTGGCAGAGATTGTAGATTAGCAAGATGGATCGATGGGAGCGGGGTTCGAAATCCACGCTGCCGGAGCTTGACTAGCATGTCGGCTTGCTTCCCCACTCCTCCGGCGGCGTTTCCATGCTCCGTACAGCGCAGCCGCTCCGCTCGCGATTAGCTCCAAAAAACCTTGTGGATTTTCGTGTGCTGGTGAAAAAAGTCCGAGCGTAGACTCTAATGCTAAGCAACTTTTCCCTCGTGTAAGTAAGCCGCTCAGGGTCGCCAAAAACTAACGAAAATGACAAAAACAGGGATAATAAAAAACATGACTATCACATGGTCTTTATTCCAGGACGTTGCGTATATGTCGCTTAGGGTTTTAATGGGTTTAAAGTTAGACATTAAGTTTTAAAACAAAGAAACTGGGGAGTTCAAAGTGTTTGTTACACTGGTGTCACCTGGGCTCTAATTTAAACTCCTCCACTTGGGGCAAGTGGTGCTGATTTTCATCCCAACCGCTTCACACTCTGCTCCAAACTACTCCAAAGAGAATTGGAGAAGTCATCAGTACCACATCATCCATCGGCGTCATTAGGCCCATTTTAGGGAGGCTTCAGCCTCCCTAAAAATGTCTTTAGCCCCCCTAAATAATTTCATTACATTATTTTTAAAAAAGTATTATTTATTTTTCCTTTACTTTTGCTAATATATTGCATCAAATTCAATGTAATGTGGCCATTTTCAATTATATTTCGATTCCCTGCCATTAATTATTTTTCGATTCCCTGCCATTATTGTAATATTAAAACTCCCAGGTTTCCTTAACGCAACAGGTGACAAACTGTCACCATCACCACATCAAATGCTAACGCAACAACTAACAGTTCATTGCCGAAAGTCAGGTTGAGTCGACAGGATGGATATTCGACAGTTTTTTAGAAAGGTAAATTAAGTATTCAATTCATCCATGCTGGTAAAACTAGTGACTATAGTCCGCTAAAATATCTCCAGTAACAGCAGAAACTGCACTGTAACAGTTCCTGTTAGTAGCTGCTCATGTGAAAGGTCCTTTACTGCACTGCGTCGGCTTCACTCATGGCTGCGTCAAACAATGGGTCAGAAAAGACTTCACAGTCTTGCAGTCATGTCCATTGAAAAGAACACACTTGTTGAGCATATCAGTCACAACAGAGTGATTGACCGATTTGCAACTCTTAAAAACAGAAGGCTTTCTTTGATGCTTCCACCCACCAAGTGAATGGACAGTCTTGGAGATGGGCAGAGATGCAAAGTAACTAAGTGTAAAAGTACGCTAATTGAGTATTTTGTTTTTGATTATTTTGTTTGAGTTGAATGACTACTTCTTTTACTACTTTTACGAAAGTCATTTTTTCAACAAGTATTTTACTTTTACTTGGGTACAATCATTTAATACTTTTTGTATTA